GAACAATGGGCATAGGTAAATATACATTATCTGAGATTACATTGTATGAGATATATATGACAGGCTATGTTCGTTCCCGTGACGCTTATAATCATATCATTCATTCATTAAGATCCGTTCAGTCGTCTATACGGGAAAAGGTAACAAATAGTTATACTTTTGCATTTGTAATTAATAATATAGGCAAACTGTCTTAGAAAATCTAGATTGTATTTGAATAGTTATATTTAATAACAGTTACATATATTTAATAACCATTTTATAAGATACCTATCACTGACCACAAATATGTTATCACATTCACACGATAAGATTTTAATATGTTTTAAATTGTGTCCATAATTAAGGATATATTAACATTTAGGATATAAGGACAGGAAAATATTTTGACCAGCAGTATTTTCATCACAGACGCTACTAAAACTACAATGGTAAGCAACGAAAATATTTCTTATTTTTTTTATAATACTGAGATAAATAATACAATGCAGCCTAACAATGCGAACAATAAAACATTACTGATATCGCTAACACTTTTATTACGACTCATAATAGGTATTGAATAGATTAAGCTCTAATATATCATACATTTCATAAATTTTATTTTACCTACTTTCATATAGTAGATATATTTTTGACATAGCCAACCTTTAGTTATCATATCATAATGATTATAATAGTAGCTCCAAAACATCGGAAGCCTCCAGAGACATAATCTCGGTAATATCTTGTTATGTATGTATGTATGTATGTATAACAAACTTATTAAGTATATTTATTAAACATAATATTTTTCTAGAATTGGGAGGCTAGCTGGTGGTGTAAACTAATAAAAATAACTATTTAAAAGGTCAAATACGTTTGCTTAGCATGGCGATTCATTTAAATAAAATTATTTATTAAAAATATACCTTAATATACCAATTATAATATGTGACTTTTAGTACCCAGCCGCTCGGCACTTTCTAACTACGAGAAATAAAGATTTAGAAGATTTATAAAGAACATCAACCTCTCGATAGATCAGTTTCAGGATGAGATGGGTTTAAACAATCGAAATTATTAATTTCCAGATGTTCCTGTTAGCTGTCCTGTTCATAGTCGGAAGAAGTTTAGCTTTGCCAACTAATCCAGGTCTAGATTTAGAAATACCTTCAGTTGAGCTTGTCGCGCCATTGGGATACAATGATGATGTTTTGCATACCAATTTACCCATAGTAGTAGATGATGAATTAAAGAGTCATGAAAAGGAAGAGAATGAACATAAAGAAGGAACTGTTATTCCAGAAGCGCCTGTATTGCCGCCTCTTGAGCTCGCAATTGTAGAGAATTCCGAGAAATCTAAGGAAGTAGAAGGTTATAAAGAAGAATCCGAACATCGTGAAGACGGACCCGAAGAGCCCAAAGATGAGCTTGAAGGGAATAAAGAGGAATCCGAACATCGTGACGACGGAGCTGAAGAGCCCAAAGAGGAGCTTGAAGGGAATAAAGAAGAATCCGAACATCGTGAAGACGAAGCTGAAGAACCCAAAGAGGAGCTTGAAGTGAATAAAGAGGGTGAAAATCACGAGGAGGAGAATAGGGAAGATGAAAAATCTACCGATTCTAAACCAGAAACTTCAAAAGAACCTACAATCCAGATTTGGTCTTTACTCCCATCACTTCCCTTCTCTTTTCCATCATTACCGATCTCTTTCCCTAACATCCACTTTCCATACTTTTCAACGATATTTTCCCGACCCAAAGCTAGTGAGAGTGACATTAGTAGATACCGTGAGTTATATATTCCTGTGGCATGGGAATGAAATAAGTTGTTATAAATATAACAGAGGATATTTATACTTTACGCAGTTCTTTGATAATATTTTGTTACAGTATTTAGAATTAACGATGTCTAATAAAAAATAAACAATATATATATATATATATACTCAAACTAAGCAAACCCTGTACTATGGATACTATACACAGCTGTCTTATATTTAAAATTATAGTAGGTAGTTATTAGTTAACACAATATTAAGTCAGTTAGTTATTTTTATGTATTTCTTAGCAAGACGTTTTTATTTATGTGTATGTGTATGGAAGAGCGTCGTGGCCTAATAGTTTACTACCCAAAATTAGACCCAAGACATTGTGACAATAAATCTGGCTGATACTGGGTCTCCAATGAATTCGAGAGATGGCCTTACGCTCGCCCCATCCATTTGTATTCAAATATACCGAGTGAAAAGTGGGCAAATCAACATTGACAATTAACACAAAGGTATAATGTATAATAAATATAGCATTGCACTACTCCATTTGGGGTAACAATCGTGACGCTGTGATATGTTTTAAGTATATGTATGTGGTTTACATTGGCTGAAAGGAAAAGTTAATATCTATCTCTTTCGCTGTGTAGATTTTTACGAGAAATAAGATCTATAAGCATACATAATGTACACGATTGCATAAATAAATGTGACATCATTGTAATAAAGCCATATCTATTTTATCCTTTATTAGATTTGTAAATTAATTACTCTCATAACTGTACTTAACAATAATAAATATTTATAATAAAAAGTACAAGAGGATATTAAATATTAATTTTTGATTAATATCAAAAGACAAATAAAAGCCCTTTTTAAAAAATATCTCTGTTCTCGTTTATTATTCCTTCTTATAAGTGTAAAATTTAAAATTCAATATCTAAGTCATTTTCCAAAGTCGTCACCAGACCATGGGGATAAAGTAGGCACAGATGATGGTGGTTGACCGTGCTTTGTAGATACTCGATCTTGAGGTGTATTTAATTTGCTTTTATTAGGCCAATCAAACTTATGGTTACCTCTTGATAAAAAAGGCAAGTCATTTGAAGCGTCCCTACGTTGTTGGTCTGAATGAGGAACCTGTTCGTATTGATTATTATTAGGCATAATACCATGTTTTGCCCATTGGAACGCAGGAGCCTGTGTGGGTTTTACAGTTTGTAAGTTTGGTTGATAGTACTGATCGTAATTTGCGTTGGAAGAATAATATGACGGCTGTTGTTCTTGGTATGTTCCAGATAGATCCATCCATTTTGGTGTGGATGGCGGTGGTGGTAAACTCGCAGGTAAATGATTGTTTATAATTTGGTTCCAATTTTGATCGTCATAAGGTTTAGCTATTGTTTTTGTTAACTGTTGATTATCACGAGGCATAGGTACTTGCTTCCGTTGAAAATCCGAAAAATGTTCTGGGTAATTGTTAATGCTAGTCACTATGGGTGTAGCATGAGTTGTGGTAGATTTTTTGTTCATGTATTTTCCCATGTCTTCATCTCGTATATCCACGTGAGCAGGTTGATCATTTCGTAGGTGTTCAAAGTTATAATACAAATTAGACGGCCTACGTAAATCTCTATTATACATGTTTTCCATTTGATTATTTACGTTGTCATCTTGTCTATAGTCATTAGAAAGTTGTGCGATTGCTGATGAGGTAAACAGCAAAATAATTGTAAGCGGTATCATTTTTCTGTAAAGATTAGAAAACGATTATTATCATGATTAGAAAAACATTTCTGTCAAAAACCTATTAGTACTAAAATTCTTTACCGAATAATTTATATAACTATTATACAATCTAGACGAGAATTACTTCGGTTTCGACAAAAAAGATGAAAATCAGTGAATACACCAATTGCTTCACAGTAAATATATAATTATTTATAACATTATCAGTTTTGAAATCAGCTTAGCCCAGAAATAATCCGTATTTATAAACACAGAAATTGTCTAAATGAAATGATTGTCTTACCTTGCTTACTGCTAAATCAAACTAACCTAAATTGGCTGTATGTAGAGCTATATAAAGATTTGAGTTAGGGAGAAATTGTATTAAAACAAGTATTATAAGATAATTTACTCTAATTAAGGTAATTACTTAATTATAATTACAATTCAATGGATTCTGAATATATTACATAAATGTAATAAATAATAAATACAAAAAATTGTTAACAAACATTTATTTTCACGAATTTATATTAGTCAACATAGATATATTTTGAAATATAATATATAGAAGGAGTATACTTAATTATAAATAGAGAATATTGAGATAATTATACTATTAAAGATATTATTTTAATTCTAAATTAAGACCCATTAGTCACTGCAACAAGTTGACATTAAAATATTGCAAATGTAATATCGATTAATAGCAAATTATTAGCAGTGACAAATATCACACACCCAGGATAAGATATAATAATATACACTTATATAACAATTGAAACATGTTGAAATAACCTAGTTCATAGAAACTTTAAATAAAATGATAGTGACACAGTTCAAGGGTAAACGTTACATAGCAGTTCTTCTTCTTGAAAGTAAATAAATAAAAATATTACAAGAAAATAAAATATATTGTTAACGTCTGTTTTATTACATATTTTGCGAGATAAATCCCCTGTATAATACTATATTTCAATATTAGAGTATCATCATTTCAACATTCACTGCTGTAGGTATATAGGCCTTTCTCTTTATTTCTATTCTTTCTTTTGCTGCACATGCAGAAGTCAAAAAAATATATAAGTACCTACCATACAACATATGATTTAGTACAATACTTATATTTTTGGTATTAAAGCACTTACCTAAGCCTACATGATTTTTTGACTCTGTGTTGTGCCTTATATAAAATACCTACATTTTATTGGGCTTATCGCGAAAAAGACTCGTAATAGCTTTTCCGCTTTTATGGTGTATCTATGTAGGCGAAAATACGGTGAGACTACAAAAGGTAATGCATAATAAGTTCATTGACCTTGTATTTAAATTATCATCAATGTCCATATTTGTTTTAAACATATAATACAAAAATATATAGATTGACGTCTGCCTTGCTGTTTTTTGCCTATAGATTACATTTCAATATTTTCTTAGAAATTATAATTTATTGATAACATAGACAATTACAGTATAATGGCACTGAGATTATTAATTAATTAAGTACCTACATTTAAATAATACACCTACCTAAATGTTAAAGATATGAATATATAACATATTATCTAAATAAGCATCGTTTGTTCTAAATATGCTAAACAAAGTACTCAATGTAAAATTAAGTAGTGGCTAAGAATTCGCATCGTTCGAGTAAATAAATCGTTATGTCTCCTATAATACATTCGCATGAACTAGCAATACTGATTAATAAATTATTAGGTAACTTCAATTTTAACACTATTGTAGATAATAACAATAATTCTACAGATAATTTATATCAATCTATGGGCCGTGGATCATAAGGAGTGGCATCATGTCCAACATATCTGTTGTTTTTACGAATTTGAAAGCCTTCGCCGGGAGCAGTGTTGTAATATATGACGCGGCGAATACCAAACGGATCTATGTAACCGAAGCTTCCAGTTCGGTCATGGGAGCTCCCCGTTTCTTCTTCATGGTACTGTTTGGGTAAATAATATCTAAAGCCGTTTTGTCTGAAGGCGATTCCGTCATATTGAGGGAATTGAGGTGTATATCCATCGCCAAGTCTAACTTTAGGTCGTTGTCTTCTTAACCAGTCATCGGCATGTCTATATGAATTGGGATTAAACACATCAAATCGTCTGTATGGTGTACTGTCACTTGCAAAATAACCATCATCAATTGTGTTAGTATTTGAAGAGTCGTAATCGTAAGGAATGGAAGACGGTGAAGCTTCTGCAGCAGTAATTGGTGGCACAGTAGGCCTAAAATTAAACGGAGTAGAAGATATATCAATTGAGTTAGGAGATACAGTAACGTGGGGCAATGGCGTGGAGGTTGGATATGATGGAGGTGGAGGAGTGACTGAGACTTCAGAAGGAAAAGAGTGGGGTGGTGATAATGTGGATGAAAGTTGGAAAGGTACTGGCGTGGTAGAACTGACACGAGGTGGTACACGTGCTTGATTTAATGAAGATGCTGGTGTCACGCCGTAACCAGAGTCTGTAGGGGCCGTTTTAGCAATTTTCAAGGATTCCTGGAACATATAGTTGTAAATTTGTAATATATTGCAAGGATCAATAATATGTCTTAAAAATAATATTTAATTATAATTCTTTCACTTCAAATATAACGTGATTTACATAATCAGTTCGTGCAGGACACTGATTATATTTCAAGCTGTAATAATTAATGTAAACGTATATTAACTCAAACGAATCTAAAAATACCGGATTTCATTCCGAATAATCAGTCCTTTTAATTTAGAAAATGCACTTCCTCAATTATTTACAAATTACTTTGAAATTTGAACTATGAGAGTACATTTGGAGATTATTTTTTATTGACTATGCACTGTTGGTTTATTTTGGTAAAGTAAATAAGTTGGTGATGTAGGAAGTACCTGTTTATATGAACTAGTCATATAAAGAGGTATTTGCTACCTTAACGGTTCACATTATAAAAAGTCGGTAATGTCATCTATCATGGAATGCAGAAAGAAAAATAAGTAACTTACTCCTATCGGTCTATTTTGACCAACATAAACTGTTTTGGACTTGTAAATTCGGTAGCCTTCATGATCCGCTATATAGTCCTGGAGACGCAGGTATCCGTCGGCGCCTACCCATCCTGTTGTACCTGCAATGTTATTAGTTAACAAGTCTTAGTTAGAATATTGATGATTGTTAATGTAGGTTCTATAATAATATCTTATTAAGTAGGTATATAATATTCAACTCAAATGGATATTACATAGAATTTAATCACAGAATTTAATTTCCTGTCAAAAGTCATTAATTCTTGTTATTAATTTAACTTTTATATTACGTTAACACTTTAAACACTATATAGCTTGAGCACAGTTTGACAAATCGACATCGAATAGGGAATAAAGATTGTCGACTATGCAAAGGCATACGTAGTGTAGAACAATGTTCACAAGATCTTAAAAATATGGCAGTGAGTCAAGGATACTGATGGCCCATGACTACTTTGTGGTCTAATAAGCTGAATAGTCTGAATGTATCAGCGATCGAGTTACTTGGAATTATTTAGCTCTAATGATATTTGTTATAAATATAGATATAAGTACTAGCCGAGCCCACAAACGTTCTTATGCCATATGAATTAAAATCGCTAATAAAAAATTGGGGTTGGTAAAAGAATAGTGAAAATGTAAAAAATCGATCAAGCCTTTTCGGAGGATTATGGTAACAAATATTGTGATACCAGATTTTATATGTAAGATTACGGATAATATTCCAAATGTAATGACGGATAACGTACCAACGACGGATCCATCTTTGAGTCTTCTCTCTTTCCGATACTGTCCATTATGAGTTTGGTAGAGAAAATACCGTTCATCGTCCTCGTCTGTTTGTATGTGGAACTGGTCGGGATCTTGCTGCGGGCTATACCCGTCTAACGCTGCCAAGGCCCCACACACCCACACCTAGAAAAGATAAATCAGAGAATATAACGACTGATATAGTTTAATACAATTTGAAGGTTAGAAAGGAGTCGTTGCATCATTGTTATTCGATGAAACTAATGGGGTTTATCTAGTTTCTAGGTTGATTAGAATTACCGGATATTTGTGATAATATGGACCCTTTCTTGCTTTCGTCTCATCTCTCATATTTTACACATAGTCTGTACGGGACTGGTGATTATGAGACTTAAGAAAATTAACGTACGCAAATACTAACTACTAATAGTTTCTACATACATCTTTTATGTATATAGAAACTGTTTGTAGTGCTATTCTCGATGTCAATCTCATAAAGACTCTGGCGTGAAGATACTCTACTTCTGCTATAATGCAGCTTTATTTAATATGTAAGATGTGCTAGATTAGAGAGATTGGTAGTATAATCATTCGATATTGTATCTCAACAGATATTTTGGTAAATATGATTATTTCTATATGGCTACATTATTTTGTTTTTGCCTTTTAAGTGTGTCTTTATCTCACTTGTCTGAAAATAAGAGTTAGTTAAAGAAATAAATAGATTTCCGGAAGAATTGGCAAGGTGATCTAGTACGTATGGCACTCATAGGCTATATTGAATATAAATAAAGACTGCCGTATGATCACAATTACAATAACTTTGTTAAATGGGATCTGTTTTTACATTATTGAAATTATCGTTTTGGCTATGTGCATTCATGAATTAAAAACTAAGTTTATTTTGTTACTAATATATAACATAACATAATGTTTGTAATATAATTTATAATTGAGGCGAATGTGTTGAATATTGAATATTTTTCATAAAGTCCAACATATGAATCAATGGTTATGTTAAAGAGTTCCCTTCTAATTGCGCAATGTAATTTCAGTACCTCCATCTTTAATAGTTAGGTTTACACAAGGTTTGCAGTAGTCGATTAGTATACTCTGTTACACTCTTTAGAATCATAAATTGTTAGTTGGCTGAGTGTGGGAGTTAGGATTGTAAGTAATAATGTATTAGTAGTAGTGTCAAGGACTACGTCAATTGACTAATTGTTAATGTGCATTTGGATTTACACTGATTGCATGACTACTAACAATAATTGCTGTATTGTAAAATACAGCGAACAGTGTAAACACTTGTAACTAGTCAGATTAATATAATTTAGCTACTTATTACATAATCAGTTTAAAACATTACAGGTAATTTATATCACATTTTTAAAAGACTTTTACCAAGAGAATTTGCGATTACAGGTTGGTTCCGCTTATTAGACCTTAATAAATATAGATAAATAGAAAATTTAATTTCATCATACAACATATACACTTCATTTATTATATACATTTACTAATATTTCATAGCTTTTCTTTATTTTTAACCTAAATAAAAATAATTTAACTTTAGTAGATTCATCATGTTTTACACTGTATCTCGGCATTAAATCATAACATGATTTAATGCCGAGATACAGTGTAAAACATTTTATATAACGTTTTCGTGTAATAAATCATATACTAGTTTCATTCACTTAACCTCTTAGTATAATTTTTTTTGTAATACATCCACAAATGAATAAATTATTACATAAATTAATTTATTGGCGTTCAGTAATATCTTATTTATCCATTATTTACATGTAAGGACCCTTATAGTATTTTAAAACTATCAGTTTAATTGATGATTTCGTTAAGGCGATAATTCAATAATTCATTAGTATTGCGACTCTTATTATTCTGATATGCATTGTTTTTATTGAGATGTCAGTGTTGTCTCGATGTGCAGCATCCGTAAAATCGGGCAGTCGTTTGTGAGAAACAATGGATTTGCCACGAATTAGAGACGGATTCAGTAATTTGCTGAACAATAGATGCCAACCGAGCCCTGAAGGCCGGGATGTAGCAACAAAAACTCACAGGTCTATTAATATGTAAGAAATACAAGGAAAGTCAACAAAACTATGCAACAAACGCTTTAAATAATATTTAGTTATTTTGTTACGCTTATTCAAGAAGGTCTTTGAAATGAATATAAAAAATAATTGTGGTGAACACTCTCACTCCTTTGAATTACATATAAAAGATTTAACGTTTATGGATTTAACAAAAATTGCAATAGGCATAATTTACCTAAAATGCTATTTATATTGATTGACGTTAACTACATTCAATACATTCAGGAAGTAAATAAAAACAGAATAATTATAATTTATTATTACTTCAACCTTATTCATGGTAGCCTCATGGAATGATAAATATTAAAAGGCCTACGACATACTGCCGTTACCTCGGGATGATACGTGGGCAGACCACAAAGGACCTACGCGGAAACATTCTCACGCATGTTAGATTAGGCACAGACATGATAACAAAAAACCTAAATCCATACGTTTCTAGTTGTTTGAACGTTGCGAAAACTTACGTCTTCAAGTGATTACTTCCGTGACTTAAGATATTGTTTTTTTTTCACGAGGAAACTCAGACAGTGCTGATTTCAAAATCACGTTTGACTAACTGAGGTGCAAGTACAACAGCAATTTACATCCCAATGGAGATATCCTTTTGTTTTGTTGTTACAACGCGCGTCATTTTAGTATTAACGAGATTTGAATACAATTTGATTAGTCAAGCTGTTCACGCACAAAATCAGTCACGACGCTTCGATGATTCGGTTTGATGAATGAGGTAATATTATATTTCCGCCCCTTTACTAGTACGAATTATCAAACACAGATACACTAATTGAGGAATAATAATTATTTATTGTAAAGTTTGTAAAGGTTTATTACTTATTTTTGAAAATTTCATTATCAACTATAGATCTTCTGCATGGCTATCGTAGCCTCACCTATTTTAGGAGCAGCTAGGCGCAATACGAGGCATGACATCTTCCCATCTAGGTCTCCGATATGTTAAAGCAAGAGGTATCACTGGTATCATAACAATGTGATGATTGTAGTTGTATTCATGTATATAGGCGACGGTTATGTATTTGTAAATGTTTTCAATTAAATACATATAAATAGCTATAAGAGAACGTAACTTAATATTGAGACAGGTAACTTTTTTATTTTTATGCTATAGACAAAAGCCATCGGTTTTAATTTATTTCAATACTACTTATACTATGCTGTGTTAAGTATTGGGTGTGCTTACCCAATAAAATTATTAATCATATTGTAAATAGGTAATTTGTAATGCGTCCGGCCATATTTAACATCTGTTATCAGCAGGAAATAAAATAAATGCAGTATTCATTTGTGAAATGTTAATTGTAATGGTGATATGTCAATATCTATTTTCACATTATACAGGCCACAGGGCATGTGTGATACTTTTATAAATTTATATAATATTTTTGATAAACATTGAGTATACTATGAATATCAATCACAGAGCCAAAGTGATGATGTTCAAATCTGTTTTAAATAGTGAATATTATTTGCCAAAATAATTTGGATCTCCATTACTAAAAGTAACTCTGCAAATTGATCTAGAGTGTTTAGTATTACGAGTACATATTAATTATGTAGTTTAATGTACTTTAGATTAATGAATATTACCGAAAAATATAATATACAGTAAGTAATCGAAAGGTTAATATTAAATTAAAATCGTACGGTATGGCCAATTTTTTATCGTTTGTCTCTTTGTACGTCAAATAGAAAGATCAGGGGTCAAAACAAGAATTTCACATAACAATAATTCCTTGTCATGACAAATTCACAAATTTAGAAAACATTACTAATGGGAAAGATAACTGCTAGTCAAATTGTATACTCTAGCCTTAAACGGAATATTTTAAAATTGACAAAATAAAGTTGCTCTAACAGGAAATACTAAAATGGCTTACTAATGGTTTACTCATAAAATGGGTGACGATGAACAAGTTAACAAAAACAAATAAAAAAATTAGGTAAAAACAAACTTTGTTGTTAGAAAAACGATAGTCGGTCTGACAGTTTAATTAATATAATAAACAACTAACGCATATTGTTAATTAAATTTAGAATATCTTCTCATCTGCTCAATGAAAAAGAATTTATAGTAGCTAATTCCATGACTTGACCTAAGGTAGATTTTGAGTGCAATAATCGAACTATTTAATACACAGCCATATAATAATTATAATTCAGGATAATTTACATAATAAGCAACGCTTTTTTATGTGTAGGTACTGGATATAAATACTTGATTTTTTAATACATACATAATATACATAAAAATTACCCAGACCTATACAAACATATGATTGTTTGTATAGGTCTGGGTAATTTTATTCTCATGAATACAAATGTTTGCATCGAGCAACGAATCGAACCCGCAGCTTATTGAATAGAACCATAAAGCAAGCATTTTGCTAGTAGGTGTATACAATTTAGTATATTTATACCTTGTAAATGAAAATGCAGAAGTGCAGAGGGCACTGCAAACCCGTGGGATGGTTTATGAAGCGGCTGAAGGGCCAGATCTATCAGATGAATACGTTTAAAGTAATAGTAATGTAGTTGATTACAGAACCACTGTGTAAGTATACTACTTTAATTTTAATTATTTGTTTCTTAAAAAGTAACACCTTTTTAAAAATAAATAATATAATTTTGTACCAGTAAATTAGTCTTTTCTATGCGATTTGACATCAATAGATTGAAAACAAAACTTTAAAATGTATAAAGAACATTAGGTATGCTACTCGCTGCCATTTAAGATCTGTACAAAAATAGGAAATTAACGACTTTCAACTTTTTGAGTTCATTGGCTTTTTATTTGATATTTATGTATGGGATATTTTTAACTTTAATGAACAGTAATATGAGTAGATGGTGACAATATATTTATTTATATATAATACTTTATTGCAACAACATTAAAAAGTGATACAAGTAAAAATACTACAAATTGAAACCAGAAACAAGTACAAAAGGACGTCTTATTGATTATTATTAATTTCATTATTTTGTCCAGACAACCTTGGAAAGAGAGTATGACTAAAAATT